GCTTTGCACGTGCAAGCGCTCGAGCATGGAGTTAATGTTGAGAACCATCGCGTGTCACATTCGATAGTGATGTATGTGAAGTGTGTGTAGTGGAGCACGCTGGAAGTGGCGCGTGAAATTTGGCGGCATCCAATAAAAATTGGACACACGTGTCGACTCATGTATCGCTCTATAATTGAATATTTAGTGATAGACCTGTATAAACTGATCATATTGGAGGTATGTTACGCATCAACTCGGTCTATTTGCGAGATGCCGATCTAATATCGAAATAGTCGATCGTTGCGATGGTTTGGGATTTTGATAATTAACTCTATTCCTTCCAATACTCCTATTGTAAAATTAGATATATCTAACTATTTGAGCGGAAGCTGACTATTTGATTCTGAGGTCTAATGGCTCGAAAGTAACCTGTCATATCTTACGTTTTACAATTGGATTTAATATCAGTACTAACGTGATCGACCAGTGATTTGCCGATTTATTTCTTTTTCTTTCCTGAATTCCTCGTCATGTATTTATCCAATCGCGATGTGGTGGACCTAGCCTGAAAAAGCTCGTCAAGATATGTCACATACACCTAAACACAATGGATTTAGACAGTTCACGATGACGTAAATAATTTCGCAAGTGATGTGCCGAATTTTATACTTGAAGTAAGTATGGATTAGGGTTGTGTAAAAAACAGGCGAGCAGACTGGAATTTATATAATGATAAAGGTATATTATATTTGAACAGGAAAAAGATATTGCGGAACTGTACTGCACATTCTCTCTTATTCGGACACTAAACCGTACCACGTGGCAATGTTCAGCAGCTGGGTCAAATACCCACATGTTTTCGAAGTGTCCTGTCAAGAGGGACGAGGAAAGGACCAAACGTACTGTAGCTGAGTGGTACAGTATGTAGGACGTACTAGTAGATGAGCGAGGGATAACGTAGGCGAGCGGTGGAATAGTGCCGAATGTAAACCAGCCAACAAGTGCATCCTATCCCTATGTTTATCGACCTCGTCAAAGAGGCCATGTTTGTACGTCGGCACGATGCACACTACAGTGTACTAGTACCGTACAGCATATGGGGATGGTGCAAGATCACAAACTGCACGTATTGCACCTACTACAGTACAGTACTGCACACAGGGTTTTTGATATGCGTAAATATTGGGAGGCATGCACTACAGTACTGATAGGTGCTCCAGAAGTGCTGCAACAATGAAGACAGCAGTTTTCTGCTTACCGGTATTTCCCGAAGGATTTTCAGGGAAATTGTATTGGAAATTCGCATGGATAATCAATCAATCACTTTACTGAATGGGCTTTGGATAGGACTGTCTGAACTGCTGCTCTCAGGGTGTCATCAGTGTACGGTGTCGAGGCGGCATTTGGATGTCAATTCAAACTCGAAAACCTTTTAAATATAATAATTTTTCCCACCATAATATTTTACAACATTATTCGCATGAGAGGTTCTGTTTTGCCCAATAATACAGCTCGAACGATTTAATTGGATGAAATAAATTGGCATATCACTGAACATTCGGTACATCACTGGTCGGTCACGTTATCGTATTTTAATGCAATGTCCAATAGGTGACGTGGTAAAGCGTCTACATGTGAGAGGGTTGTCGTCGGTTCAAATCTAACCATTGCCATTCCTTTTTCGCTGATTTTTTAATTCAAATTCACGCAATGTTGCCTTTACATTCAGAAGTCTTCGGCTGTACAATGATACTGTTACCATGAAGGTCTACCGACATACTGCCTACCGTAGACTCAACGCAAGACCCACTTCGTTTCGGCTTCGCGAGCTGTTTCCACGTCCCCTAAATCGATTGCCTCCACCACGTGACTTGCTACCAGGTCTTTCAAATGCGTGGGGCAACTTGGTTCGGCCATAATGATCACTGTTGGCGATGTCAAGTGCGAACAATAGGTGGTAGCCAAACGCGTTCTTGAAGAAGTAGTTGCTGCGGCAAAACAACGAGCCTGGGCGAGTACACACCAACATGGCTGGCTGTACATGCACGGACATGTCGAGGTTGTGTGGGAAGTTAAATCCGAATGCTGGGTGCTCTGACATGGCTGCGATCGATGGATACTTTGACTTCATGACGACAATTGGTTTATGTTGTGGTGCACTAGTCGACCAAGAAGTGTACTTCCCCGATGAAGAGGTATTCGAGGTTTGTCCTGCCTAATCCGTAGTGGTTCCCTTCAATCTAATTACTTTGTCCTGCTGGAAGACAAGTGTCCTGCTCTGTTTCAACGTGGAAAATCCTTGGTTGTCCTGCCAAATGACAGTATAGTGAGGTCAATGTTCAGATAGTCCTGCCGAAATATTGGCGGTATGCCTAATACGATAAAGTCCTAAATTGTCCCGAAATGTTTAGATAAAATCATCAAAGTAATCGAATTTCTGGAAAATTCTTGGAAACTTTGCTGAAGGGTGTCGCAAATTTCAGCGCACTCATTGTTCAATTTGCATCAAATCCCATATGGAAACTTGCCTTGTCCGCGTGCACCGATCGTATGCCGACAAGCAGTCAATCCTGGAGGCATGGACCGCCTCCACCGATATCAGTCAAGTTAATTCAGCCGGCGCCATGGCCTCCCGTTGTCGACAATCCAAAAATGGCTTGGCAACGCCCAGAAGATCAATTATGTGGACGCGACCAAGACCATGAAGCACAACATATGAAGAAGAAACGAATAATTGGTGGCGACAAGCAAATGCGCAAGTTGGACCAAAAGTCGCAGACTTTGTTCGCCTACATCGTATCTTCGCCCGACCCGTTGGAAATGGCAAGCGTAAGGGCCCAAGCCCGCGAGATTTGGCCCGAATGGCTCGACAAGTCTCACTCCACATGGAAATGTGGTGACAATTTCCGAAAGTCGTGCACCTGCTTCGTGCAACGACACTTTCCTGAGAAGTTCAACAATCGATTGAGGTTGACGTCAGCCGACGCCAGCCATATTGTACCGTCTAGTGCCGGTGCTCTTTGGAACCCAACAGACGGCACAAATCCAGCCGAACGCGGTCATCTTGTGCCGTTCGGTGACGGCGCTCCGTTGAACCCTGCAAACGGCACACCATCCCACGCAGCGGTTGACATTGACAATGCAAATCAGCCTCTTCTCCACCCAAGTTCAACGAACTGTCCTGACAGCCATCGTGAAACCGACAACGACGACGAAGACGTGACATCAGTGACGTTTCAAGACGGAACACCTGTAAAGCTAGCAAATCGAGACGAGTACGGCTTGGGCTACAAACACATCGACAACATCGCATGGTCAAATTTTCTCGAGAGGGCAAGTACCAACGAGGGGTCTACAACAAGTCCTGCACACGATGCAATGCCATGTCACCTTGTGTTTCGCAACGACTCTGCGACAACGTCATGACCTATTCTGAATGCTCGTCGGGACGCTGCAGCGCTGGTTTGAACTACCGCAACAACGCTCCAAAACGACGGTTGTAGTGTGCCCGAAGCTCCAATACGCGTTGAGGCTTTAAGAAGACGTTGTTCCTGGCACGGAAATCATTGAATACATAAGGGAGCGTATTGGCAAAGCCGAGTTCACGCGGCGCAAAGCTCGTGACATGATCACGAGAACAAGGGGGTTGTACATTGATGCAATGTATGCAGGGAACGAGTCGCGATTTATCAATCATTCGTATGTATCCAATTGTGTCTTTGAAACCTGTTTCCTGGATGGTGAAGCCCGGTTGGTTGTTGTGGCCTCTCGACACATGCAAAAGTTCACAGTTCATTCAACTTCTTACATGGGAGTGGAACATCCAATGCTTGTGTAATTATTGCGATGGAAGTTACAACAGAGAAGATATGCCTTACTGTAATCAATAAGACATTCACCACCCGTGTTGATTTCCATCTGAACTTCAGTGCGAACATAATTTATACTTGTGGATGTGCAGGGCAACCTAAGTTGTCCAGCTCAATTTTGTTGAGTATCGGTCCTGGCTGGTTAAGAATTTGGCCTGCCAACTTTGGAAATGTCCTGCTGAAGATGAAATTGTCCTGTGTGGCAAGTCGAGCCTACTAGTCCATGGTGCAATTTATGCTCTTTCTCAATAGTACCCAGCTGGTGTCGGCAGAGTTGGTGGCATTTACGTTTTCTACTGTCCTCTATCCGTCTAGTATCCCCAAAACATTGCTACAGTGGTACAAACTAGTACTAAATATCGATACCAGACGTCCCTTTAGGGTTTTCAGCTGATTTATTGGGGTCTTCATACATTTATTGGGTTCTTCTACACTTCTCAAAAACTACCAGTATACTGCCAAGAAGTTCTACCATAAGAAGACAAAATCAATCCACACTACTTCCAGATCAACCACCACAGCTCGGTACGCAGTAGCTGATACTCCTCTGTCCAATAAGAATTGTTGGATTTTACAAAACACATGCGATTATGGTCCAATCTTTGAAGTTTCTCATTCTGATTGGCTCAAAAGAATGGTTTTGACGCGGTCTTTCATTGGATGTAAACAAAGCTGAAATTGGATTCTTTTTGCAGAAATTAGAGAGTACAGAAACTCTGCACACAAGAACTAGGGAATCACAGGTAGAAAATGGGGAATCATATGAAACTGTAACGTTACAAATACTATATAAGGTAAATTGGTCCTCCACAGACCTCGTCTGGGAGCGGCACGGCCTGTGGCCTACCTGCCGCTTTCCCAACGAGAGGAATAGATTGGACATTCGGTGAAGTGCACGATTGGGGCTCACTCCTCGCCAAGGCACCGCCTGCATAAAATTATGCACACGACCTCCGCTGCGCTGCGGTGCGCGCAATTTTGTGGGCGGATGCTCTGTCGTCGCTCGCTGCTGTAACGCTAGGTCAATTCCCTTGTGTTTTGATACACGTGTGTGTCCCCCAGATTTCTACCTGTGATTCCCTAATTCTTGTGTGCACGAACATTTGACTCGAAATTAGAGCACTTCGAAGCCTACTACAGGTAGTACTACTAGTAGTACGGGATTAAACCTCTATAATTTGATGCGATTGCATGGCGGCTTGAGGTGCACATGGTGCAACCCGCAGGCACGGTGGTGTTCTGCATGGCGCTGCAGAAAGACTTATGAGCCTTTTTAGAGGTCGGCTCATGGTCTCATCATCGGTAAGGCGGTTAGTCTCCATTATGTGCAGCAGGCCACCATTCGTCGTGAGGTTGTACGCCATTGTCGTGCGGTTGAAAGATGTGCCTTCTTGGCGCATTTTCATTGGACGAAATGATTAGACTTAAAATAGATCAGAAAAAGTAATTCGTAGCAAGAGACGTCAGTTTGCAATTTAGTTCGGCCTCCGCAAGAGATTCCTGTCCGGTTAACGACGGGAGTGAAAAAAAAGAGTTCTTTAGCCTTATCGAAGCAATGAGTGACTCTGACCACCAACGCTCGCAGTCCCCTGTTAACGAGACGGAGCGATCCCGATCCCGAGAAGCCGAACGCGGCCGTCCTTTGCGCCGTCAAGCCACTACCCCGTTCGCCTTTCCATACCGGCCTAATTCACCAGCTGTTGACCAGCGGTTTCAACCTGATGGCTACGCCAACACCCCCGGCGTCGTGTACAACGCGCCGGCGCTCCCTGTCCCGCCCTTGTTCAACGGCTCTATCAAGTCGGAGCGGTGGACATTCATCCGCCAGTACAACAAGTACCTGGACTAAGTCAACGCCCTCCAGCTCAATGGCTCAAGTTCCTTCGTGATCCCTGTCAGCGCGTGCATGGACAAATTTACCAAGAAGCGAGTGGCGATGTGGCACGTGACCAACCGCGACTACCGTGGCATCACGGAGGCAGAGTGGGCCGCATGGTTTAAGAAGGCGTTTGAAGAGGAGCCTCAAGACCTGGAAGTGCTAAAAAACCGTTTGACCACGGCAATCCGGTTCGTCACGACAATCATGGACGCTGATTCGCGTATTGGCAAGATGCTTGAAAACCTGATGCGAGGCTTGGAGCGCGACAACCAAGCGTGGGTTTTGGACCAAGGAGGTAAAACAGTTGTCGACATCATGGCCAAGGCGATCAAGCCGCTTGGCCTGAGAAGTCGGTCCAACGCCTTCTGGCCCTCCAACGTAACAAGCCGTTGAAGTCCAACGTGTACCGTTTCCTTGACTGGCTGGGCGTGCATATCACCGGTTACCACTTGTATACCCCGGTGGAAGACGAGAAGACTTCAGCACCCCCTGCTGCGGCCACCGCAGCACCATCGCGGCCGTCCAAGTCTGAACGATCTTAAGCCAGCATTGGCAGCAGCAGTGGACCTCCCCGGTGCTCCCCACCCCTGAGCAAGACAGCGCGAAGTACGAGCGCAAGAAGGGGACCTCTCTCAAGTGTGGCAGCGAGAACCACAAGGTCGTTAACTCTCCAAGTGCGCGCCTGGCGAATCCGAGCGCCTGTTGAAGAAGCTAATGGACTAGTGGGAGAGTGCGCACAACAAGAAGGTAACGAAGCTTCAAGGCAGTGCGAACAAGTCCCTCGGCCGCGAAGCTAAGATCGAAGCCATCGTGTCCATCACGACGACCCTCCTCGACACTGGCCCCGACGTTACCTTGGTGACAGCTGGTGTCATGATTCCCTATCGTGGAAGTCATGGTGATTTCGCCGGAGCCATCCGTGATCCAGCCGTATGGCCAAGCACCTGCCCTCAAGGTCGACCACCAAAAGCAGTTCAAGTTGGTCACCCTGGACACACCCTGTGGGCCTTTGGCCCGGCGTGGACTCAAGGCCTGGGTGGACTCTTCCTCCAACGCGGCAGAGCTCTTGATCAGCCGGGCTGTGGTGGAACGGCTGGGATTCTCTGAAGACGAATTCCTCAGCCACGCCTTTGCCAAGCAAGAAGTCTGGGATGTCAGCGACGTGGACAAGCCGTCTGCGATGGCAAGTGTCAGCCGCCTGACTCAAGTGGCCGCCTCAAGCTACGAGTGCGGTGATGACGGCATGCACTGTGCCACCCCCAACATCCAAGTCCCATCTGCTGAAGACGTTGAGGGCGAGCGGAACAGGTGGCGAGCGGTGGTTGAAGCGGGACAAGCTCCGTGCCGCTGAAGACGAAGGCTTGATCGCGGACCTCCTCGAGAAGCTGCGGCTCCTCCTGGTCAAGCACGGTGATGTATTCCGCCTGGAGATCGGCCATGACTAGCTGATCAAGGTGGAGCCACTGCGGGTGCGCATCAAGCCTGGCGCCGACCCTGTCAAGTATGGCCTGCGATGATACCCCCTAGCGCATATGGAGTTCCTGAAGACACATGTGCACGAGCTCGAAGCAGCCGGTCTGGTGTACCGCAACAACTGCGCAACATGGGCCTCGGCGCCACGCATCGTCCCCAAGAAAGACCCTGGCGACTTGCGCATGACCATCGACAGCCGGCGTGCATGGAGCCTATGCCATGGCCTACGCCGAACCGCGACGCCTTCCTGACTGTCTTGGTGCGCGGGCGTTTTTCACCCTCGACTGGTACAAGGGTTACTGGCAGCTGGCGCTCCATGAACTCCAAATATACTACTCCTTCATGACCCCCTTTGGAGTGTACACGCCCACAAGAGTGCTTATGGGACAGATCGTCGCGGTGGTTTTCTGCCAGTCGGCAGTGGACTTCATGTTTGCCGACCTACTGTTCAAGGAACTCCTAGCCTGGCTCAACGACATGCTTGGCTACGCCGAGACCCCTCGAAGACCTCCTCGACATCCTCGATCAAGTCCTCACGATCTGCTCCTCCTTCGGCCTGAAGCTCAACCCGAAGAAATGCAACTTCTTCCTGACCAAGGCCGTCTGGTGCGAAGTCGCCACAACCGAAGGCGTCCAGCACTCCCCCACATGAATGCGAGGACTGCGTGCGCTCGCGCCACCTGCCACGGCTGCCGACCTCCAGCAGTTTGTGTGCGCGACCAACTGGATTCGGTCCAGCATCCCCTGCTACTTGTGTCGCCGCTCCGCCAAATCCTCGATGCAGCGACCAAGAAAATTGGAAGTGCGAAGAAAACGAAGCTTACCCGCGTTCAACTCACTGCCGTTGGCTGCGACGTTGGCCATCTGACCTGATTCGACAAGATCAAGGAAACTCTCTTGGCGGTGGTTCCCATGGCGCACCCACGGGTAGACAAGATGGTCTGCCTTTACACCGATGCAAGTAAAGGATTTGGGGCGCCATCGCCACTCAAGTACCATATGAAGACCTGGCCTTGCCGTTGGCCTTTCTCAGCGGTGCCTTTACTGGCGCAATCAAGCGCTGACCAATCGTGGAGAAGGAAGCGTTTGCCGTTCTGGAAAGCTGCAAGCGGCTGGATTACCTTCTCATCCGCCCAGCTGGCTTCCGCCTTTTCACCGACCACAAGAACCTGCAGTACATTCTCAATCCTGCCGGCCAGTCCCCAAGCATAGCAAAGGTACCAAGCGCACAAGTTGGTGCACTGAGCCATGATGCTGCCCTCGTTCCCTTACACCATCGAGTGCCTGCCCAGTGAAGGCAATGTGTGAGGTGACCTGCTCAGTCGCTGGGGCGCCGCCCAAGCCCAAGTGCCAACAAGGTCCGTCCGGCGCCTCCTGGTCATGGTGTCGCCGCTGCAGCAGCCCCACTTCGACTGGCCCAGCCCTGCCGGCATCGTCTTGACCCAACAAGTGGTCGTGAAGAGGGGAGAGACCCCGCCAGCCGGCGAGGCGTGCAATGAAAACAAGAACCTGTTCCTCAACAAGGAAGACCGCATCTGGATCCCACAAAGTGCCACGGACCTTCAGCAGCGGGTCTGCATCATAGCGCACCAAGGCGCCGTGGGCCATCGTCGAATCGAAGCCACGACCAAGGCCGTCCGCGATGGCTTCGCCTGGAGCACCCTCAAAGTCGATGTCAAGACCGCACCAAGGCGCCGTGGGCCATCGTCGAATCGAAGCCACGACCAAGGCCGTCCGCGATGGCTTCGCCTGGAGCACCCTCAAAGTCGATGTCAAGACCGCACCAAGGCGCCGTGGGCCATCGTCGAATCGAAGCCACGACCAAG